ACGGCCACGCCCACAAAGCGCAATCCGCTAGACGCGAACCTGGCGCGGGGCATATACGCATCAGACTCTCCGGCCGAGAGGGGTCGTACCAAGCAGCGCCCGGCCACAACCCCTGGTCGTCTCCTAGGAACACCTCCGAGGGCGCGGTCGCCGTGGGGGCTTCCGTCTCGAAAGGAGAGGGACCCGGGTCGGTACTGGGCCACGCGTTTCGTTGGCCAAAAGTAACGAAATACCCGTACGGCCCGCGGCTGAACGAGACTTCCCGATCCGGGTCGTGCTCGAGGAAGAGCGATTCGGACATAGTGGTGTGAGCGGGCGCGCCCGTGAGATAAGTGGGCAGATGGGCGATAAAACGACTGTAGGTGTCGTAGTCGGGATGGACGGTCGCGACGGCGTCCGAATCGCGAGGCCTTCTTTCGAGAGGCGGCCTGGGTACGTAAGGGTATAGGTGTCCGACGTTCCAGTCGACGTCCAGCCGTCTACGATCGCTCTCGCTGGCCATAGGTCCTGGGTGAGCGTCCGGCTGTGCTCCCACCGGGGGAGGACCCTCACGAGGCGCGCGAACACGACCGCGCCCGCGACCGCGTTCTAACCCGCGCCCTCGTAGGCGGTGAGTCGCTTGAAAATGACTCGGGCCGGCAACCGCGTTAGTCCAGCGCCCTCGGCTTGACGAACTCCGGCTTCCGCGCGGGGGCTGAGATGGAGGGCGATTATCGCCTCTACCATCCCTGCCTCTCGCGTCGCGTCGGCTCATGAGCAGTCGTAATGGAGAGAGAGAGAGTCGGGAAGATGACGCCAGACGGGGGCAGGTACTCTGCCTCACTCAACTGGTCGTCGGGAAGATGGTGGTTGAAAAGAAAGAATGAAATCGATCGCGCGCGGCCTCCCGCGCCGTTCGGAGTTAGCCGGATGCCGCGCTCACAGCTGATGACGCGCGTTGTAGTCCGATAAGAACTGTGGCGCTTCGCGCAAGTCGGCCGCACTCTGCCACGTATCATACAACGGGGAGAAACCCTCCCAGCGGACCAGATACTCCCATCTTCTGCGGGACTTGTTGAACCGGTGTCCGACGATCTTCTCGACCGGGAACACATTGGAGTCATCCTGAGGGCCTCTGGTGTCCGGCATTGTGGGCCGATCTCCGAATTCCGTATCGCTGCGCACGTAGGGCACTATGTGAGCGATATTGAATACAGGGTGCCCCGGATATCGCTCGTCCATGCGGAGACGGTAGGTATGCTCGCCGACACGTTCGGCCACTATGAACGGCCCAATAAGACGTTGGACGAGTTTGGCGCCCGAACCCTTGCTTTCTACTAGTTCCAAGGTGTGCGGGTTCAGCAGCACTTCGTCCCCAGCTTCGAAGGAACGGGGTTTCCGACCGCGGTTATAGCTCTC